CGCCACGATTTTGCTAGGTTTTACGATCGCGAGCGTCGGCCGGTGGGCGGCCGTCGAAGGTCTGCGAGGGAGCCTGAACGCGCGCCGGTCTCGCGGAACCGATCCGCGCCGATTTTTCCGTCGCGCGCGGAATTAATGTCCGTCGCGCTTCCACGCGGCCTGACGTTAATTGCCATCGGGCGACAAAGTGGCTCCGCGACGATCGGGATCGGTCTTCGCGCCTGTCCCTCCGGCTTTTCTCTCGGAACCTTCTCCTCGTCGTATACGCGCAGCTTCGCATTAATTCGCAAACTTTCCTTGTTTTACGCGTTTTGTGCGACGTGCACCATTTGTGGACGTCTAATTTTTCTGAGGATATTTTTTGCGAAACGTGTGGCAAAGAATGATATGTTGCGAGGCAGGGAAAATGTGAAGGTATAATAGCGAAATATATATAAAAGTCATTATTTGGAAAGATTTCTATAAGGAATGCCTAACGAAGTGACATGCAACTAAAACGTGTAAAAGTAATAGTGCAATTCAATCAAATGATTTAACCCTCTATGGGCCGAATTTTTGTTCGTGATTATAACAAAATCTATGCAGTACGAAATTAATAAATATCCACGTATGAATACGAGTTAACAATGTATACAATAGTTTCAATAATTTCATCGAACGAGTATATTTTGTAACTTTCAAGTTACAATGACAAACTTTCACGCCTGAGCGTATAAAAGTTGAAGTTAACTGATTACTTAATTTTACTCAACACTTTGAGTGCAGAATGAAATAAATCAACAAGATTCCAATATACTGACATGTGACTTCAGAGTTACACGAGCTTATAGAGGGTTAATAAATATACATTTAGCTTTTCGAACTGTGTTGTTTTCTACAAATAAATATTCGACAACTTCCAACGACCAGTGCGTCCGTTCGTCGAGACGAGCGTTTGAAAATCAAAGTCTCCAGATGTCCGGTGCTCGCTCGACCCCCCGAGCAAAGGAAGCTGTCCGAGCACCGAAAAAGAATCGCAAGGGGGACGCCGAGATCGCCGATGACGGCGGGGAGCTATAAAGACAAATAGTAGCGAAACGAGCCCAACGAGGCCTAATGACGTGTATTTGCATCGGTCATTAAGACGGCCGAGAAACTTCGGTCTCCGCGGGTGTAATTCCGCCGTCGTCGGCTGGACAAAAGGAGACGCGCCGCTCGCAAGTAGCGCTTATCGCGACCCGCGAAAGCCCGTTTTTCTTGCGTAACCGGCTCGCCACTGCTGGCTTCCCGTTTCTTTTTCGCCGGGTCAACCCTGTTTCCATTCGCGATCCGTGCCGAAAGGCCGACAGAGGAGTCTTCCAGCTTGCCCGTCGCTTTTGATAAAACCGGTCATTAATCTTCGCTAAGAAGCAGACACGGAAGACACTCGGAACGATGGATATTAAGGATATCGTTGCCGAACGTTCAACGAGTCCAGATTTTCCAGTAGACTGATACCTAATGTTTGAAAATTTTGCCGATACCGGACGGAAACTAAGTTCTAGAGAATTTGAATTTGAATTTTATGGCCGAGGCTGAAGCTGAGCAAAGCTTTACTTGAATAAATGTCTACTATCACTATCAAATTGACATTTCCCTGCGATTAACCTACGTAACATCTTAATTTCTAATTTGATTTCAAAGAAGAAAATATCTCAAGCTGCATAGAATACACTACATTATGCAATTCCGACCTTAATCACGAGTCTCGACAACTAATGCGTTCCGACGTGTAAACCTTTGTTTTCACTTATCTGCGCATCTACCGTCGAGTCCATAGCATTGCCAACTGCATGAAAAGCTTCAAATAGAATATTAGACTGTCCGAATCTGAGTAACTTCGACTTTCCGAGGTACGTTTAAATATACACTCGCATAGAAGCAAAGGATGATACAGTTTTTCATCCAAACACTGAAACGCAGAGGTTGCCGAGCGTCGCGAAGTACTTGAATCAGCAACCTACAAAGAAGAAAAACAGCTCTAGGTCGGGAACCACGAGAATAATCAGCCAGACGTCTGTCTTTTCGCGAAACCGCCGGCGACCGAATCAATGAGTCGCCTGTCTTAATATTCGCTAACGAGGATTGACATTGATACGTCCCCAATTGCGCGGAGGGTGAGGCGGGCCGCCTCTATCGTTCCCAGTCGGCCATTAAGGCGCAACGAAGGAGCGCAGGCCGGGTCGTTCCGGTTCAAGTGTTAACGAATCCGCACGCGGGATAATTAGGATGTCGCCTAGACCGTTTATTTTCGTCGAACTCGGGGGAGAGAGGGAGAAAGAAAGAAAGACTAGAAAGACACACGGGGGAAGCGAATGTTACTGGCGAGGAAGGACGACGAGGAACAGCGCGCAGCTCCGATAAAACTCGACGCTCCCTGTATCGTCGAAAACGCACGCGCGAGCGAGTGAGCTCTACGTAGACCTAATCTCGACGCGGCGCTGATTGCTGTTTATGGGCACGGGGACGAATTTAGCGGCGCTCGCGGGGAAAATTCCCCGGTCTAATTAAGGTCGGCCGCGCCGCGTGGCCGCGTCTTTTCGCGATGAGATAATTACGCCCGTCGCGACGCGGCCGTTTTCGTTTCGCTCGTCCCGACGTGCCGCCGGAAAAAACGGATTCCGCCGTAAAATGGCCCGTCGAGATTCCTGCTTCTGATACCGCTCTCTCAATCCCGCGCGCCGCATTCCGCGGTTTTTTGCCCGGCGGAATCGAACCTCGCGGAAACTGGCGCACCGCGGCTTTTTGTCGCGTTTTCGATCGCTGGATATGTAGAACGAACATCGACGTGAAATTCTTATTCGAATCGTCTTCGAGGAATATAAAAGGAATAGAGAGAACGTATGATACTGAATTTGAAATCGATGAATTCCACTATCCGCGAATCCTTAACCCCTTGCGGTCCGAAGTGCTCTTGGTTTCTCACTTTGAGGTTCACGTCGACGTTCATTCGGTTACAGCTTAATATGACGCCTTATTTATTTATTCAAGAATATTGGGAATATTTGGATTTTAGAAATATTATTTTGTAAACGCCGATTTTGATTGATGACATGTACCCCAATTACCTACTATCAAATCTCCAGTTTCCACAATCTAAATAAACGAGCATCAATTCTTTTAGGAACAATAGAATGAAGTGTACGATAAATGCCCGTAAACCTAGTGTTAAATGATACAATTGTGATACTACAAATAAATATAGAAAAAATTGTTAAAACAGGTAGAGGTTGCAATAAAATATGTCGAGTCTGACTCGACAAAGGACTGCTAAGGGTTAAATATCTAATGAATATCACTATTAATCGATCAATCGCACAACAGGTACACCCGAATTTTATTCCATTATTCTTATCAAAGTTCATGCATTCGAAATGGCGAACGTTGCGTTTGAAGTCTCCTCGAGTTCCACTGTCAAAACGCTTACAACGCGGCGCGCTTTACTTATCTAGGCGGATACCTAGCTCGGAGTTCTCCTTTTCTACGAATTCAATCACTTTGACAAGTGAACAGCTCGTTCGTGTAACGGCCAGCTTAATCCTCAAAGGAAGCACGCGCGCGTACCGATCGATTCCATCTAAGCGGGCAGCGGCGATTAATCGCGACAAGCTCCGTCGTCGGCCCGGCCGGGTCCCTCGCGTCGGGTCCCGGCGCCGGTGCGCAGCGCACGCATCCCTCGCGGCGATATTTCCAGCGACGACGACGGATGCAAACGACGGTGGCCGTGCTTAATGGCGCGAGATATATCTGCCGGTGTTCCTCGCGGCCCGTTTCTCGCATCCTGCGGACGTAAGGGGAGACGCTCGCAAAGAGAGATCGGGGCCGACGATAACGCCGCCGACGAGCCCCGCTTGTCGTCGCAACGACGGACCTCCTCCGTTTAGCCTTACGGCCCTAATTCGCGTCTAGCCGCGATAATTAGTCTACTCGAGAGAGATCGTCGGCCGACCAGCGACACGTCCGTCCGTCGCTCGCGGTTTTCGTTCTCACACTCGGACCGAACGCTTCTTCTCGAACCTGGACTTGCGATTCGTTTTGACCATTTGTGCCCTGAATTCCGTCGGTGTTCACCTTTCGCGAGGGTTGAACCGATTGTTTGAGATTCTTCGGATTATGGGAGAAATTGCTTTTTGAGGAAACTGCCCTTTGCACTCGAGAGGCGTCTTTCGGTTGCCATTTGATTTGACCCAAGAATATTGTGAAATTGAGAATTCAATATTAAATTTTATATAATGTACGAACACATGGAACATCGGGATAAAATAGTTCTGTCACTTAATTTATGCGAGGTATTTCTTTACGTTAATTGCAGAAAATATCATTGACATTTCATCGGAAAGTAATGAATATTTGTTGAGAAAAATATTCTCGAGGGTTAAGTTAAAGTTTGAATTATTGAAGTTTCAGTCACTGAAATTTCAGTCGTTGAAATGTGAATTACTGAAATTTGAATCACTGAAGTTTAAATTTTTTCTGTATTTATTTGTAATATCACAATTGTACAACTTAAAGGTAACATTTCAATGACTCCCAAATATTCTTGAATAAATAATAGACCGTCATGTTAAGCTGTAATTGAATGAACTAACGTCGACGTGAACCTCAAAGTGAGAAACCAAGAGTACTTCGGACCGCAAAGGGTTAAAGAGGCAATTTGAAACAGCTTGAGCATATAGAATTAATTCTATTATAAACATTAGTTCACTCTACTATAAAGATTAGTTCAAGCGAAGAAGACATTCACCAACGCGAGAGTATTGGCTCGTAGAAGGTCACTGGCACCGTGAATTGTGAAACGCGGTCTCAAGCGGGCCGATCAACGTCAGGAATTTTACGTTTCGCTTCCAACGGTGCTCCACATTTCACCCGAGAGCCTAAACTGTCCGGCTCTAAATTCCGCTAAACGCAGCTCGACGTGATTCGCTATTTGTTTACGCTCGGTTTCGAAAACAGGAAGCGGCCGCGCGGTGTCCGTGTCTTCGATGGCGTAACACCGGCTCCGTGATCTCCGATTTCATTCCGATCAGCGATCGACGAGTGAACTCGTGTGAACCCGACCGTCGTTCCCGTTGGGTACGCGAATTCCTGAGAATTTTGATTACTTAGCGGCTAAGCAAATGACCTATTCACGCCTTCGCTTCCTGGTATCGAACGATTGTTTGTTTTCTGTCGTTAACGATAGATTAAGTAGACCTTGATAACTTCTATGATTAATGTAATTCAATCCTGCGATTCGATCCTATGATTTCGTATGTCTACTGAGTGATCTACGAAATAGTTTTAAATTGATCGGTGCTGTAACCAGAACACAAATTTATATAAATACATATTTATAAATGTATTCTAACAAGAACCTAAAAGATATCTCTCTATAATAATCTATAATAATCTATAATAGATCTATATCTATAATAATCTATAATCTATAATAACCTATAATAGATCTATATCTATAATAATCTATAATCTATAATAATCTATAATAGATCTATATCTATAATAACCTATAATCTATAATAATCTATAATAATCTATAATAAATCTATAATAATCGCATGCTATTCTCAATCTGAATTACCTGAATTGTCTGAAATTATTCCCAAGTGATAAATCGTTCAAAGTATGCTGAATTCATATCAGAGACTTCGAAAAGGTTAAAATCTCTACCAATTAATATAATAAAGGACCTCTAAACTGGCCAGACCAGGCAGAAAAGAGCAAACAGCTCTCCAAGTCGAAGTCGAGACAGAGGAAGAATGGAGCCAACTATTAAATCGCAAAGGTGTGATCAGTGTAAACGTAACTCTAATAATAATGACCTACGATCAGCTCGCTCTTAATAAATTGTTAATACACGACAAAAATAAGGTCTGATCCTGGCGGACGTATACTCGGAATGGTGCGGCCCTTGCGTAGCAATGGTGAGCACGCTGAGGAAAATCAAAATGGAGGTCGGCGGAGACTCGATCAATTACGCGATAGTCAAGAACGACAACATCGATGATCTCGAGAGATTCCGGGGCAGGAGCGAGCCCGTGTGGATGTTCCTTCAGGATGGGAAAATGGTGAATCTGATGTTCGGGGCGAATTGCCCTAAACTAAGGAAACTGCTCGTTCAGGAGATAAAGAGGGTGCAGGCGGACGAGGAACCGGAAATGCGATTAGACGTGAAGATCAGGACGCCGGTGGAGGAAGTTTGGTGGCAACAGGAGGAGGCTATTAGGTACTTTCAATGGCCAATCATCTGAAATTGGAAGAATTTAGTTGGCCGTGCAGATTTTCGACTCTTGAACCTCCCTACTGTGATGGTTAAAACTGAAGATTGTTCTTCGGGGTCTTTTTGATAAGAGATTGTTAAATATACCATGTTGAGAATTTGTCAGTTCATTACTGTACATTTGAGAAATGGCAAGTGGGAATCTAGAAGTGGGAATATTCAGAAATCTTTGAGTGAAAGAACATATTAACCCTTTGCACTCGAGAGGTGACTCTCAGTCACCACTTTGACACAGTAAAACTATAGAATGCGATATTTAATGTTAAACTTTGTATAATGCCTCGATACGTGAAACATTGGAATAAAACAGCTTTGTTCCTCAATGTACCGGTGATTTCTCTTCAAAACTAGTCTCAAAGAACATCGTCTTCGTAAAGAAATGGTAAATATTTCTAGTAAAAAACATCCGAGTGCAAAGGGTTAATTTTGGAATATATTACAAGAGAATACAGTGAATATTTTCTGAACCATCACAGTAGCGGCGACTGTCGATGTCACTGTTGCTAAGATTTCAGCCAAGCGTGAGATTTATTTCGCATCGTTTCACCGCGAGAAGCTGCAAGACGTCCCCGGCTACTGCGTTTTAAACAATTTAGTTCCATTTATCCCGGCACACGCTCGATTAGACGAGGCTACGTGACTCGAAACGTGCGAGATAAAATCGCGAGGGGATCAAAACAACGACAGATTACCGCGAACTTGTCCGCTGGACGAGTCGGCTAATTAGTCGCGGGTGTTCGCGAGTGAACGTGTCTTCGGACGCGGCGGCGGCACGTACACGCAACACGTGAGCCCCGGTGTAAACCGTTTTGCGAACTTCGGTGACGGGACTCACGTGTTTGCACTCGAAATAGACACGGATAGAATAAACTTAGCCGGACGCTCGGAAGAAATTATTTATAGACGGCCGTTACTTACGCGCGCGTCTCGCGCGGACCGAGCCGATGCGTTCGGGGACAAATAAATGCGACAATAAACGTCGTCTTTCGTGGAAAACGGGACAACGTTTTGCTGTCGGAACGACGAAAAATTCCAGGGGACTTAATGGATAGAAATCATCGTAACGGATGAATCTTGACTCTCCAAGGAACACGATATCCGAGCAATCATTGAAAACAATATTCACGCCAATTCATTCCATTAGAAATTCATTAAAAGATCCCGCTGTAATTCGAAAGAAGATAGTTACGATAGCTTTCTCTTAGTAAAAAAAAGACGCGACAACACTCGAAACCGCAATACGGATCGAAATAGACCGGTACCTCCGATCGAACACAAAGGATCGTTGGTAGCGCGACTGATTGCAAAATCCTGAAACAAGAAAATCGAAGGAGGCCCGCCGGCATGCCAAAGAGGAGGCAGAGAGGAGAGAAAAGTACGAGGCGTTCCTGGCACAGATGATGTTCGAGCTGAGCGAGGAGACCGCGCTGCTCTTCTATCCCTGGATCTTCAGGGACGAGGAGGGCCGTTACAGGGACAAATACGGCAGCCCGCCGTACACGGACCTGACCACGAGCCTCTTCAAGCAGAACTTCGACATACAAGAGGAGCAACGGCTGCATCTCACCGAGGAGGCCATCGAGAGCATGCTGGTCGAGAGCGGCGTTGAGATTACGAAAGAGCTGGTCGCAGGTGTGTTCTGGAATCCCTTACCGCTTTCTCTTTTAACCCTTACCGAACCTCGCGGTCGATTGTCGTTTAACGCTCCTCGATTAACGTTCCCCCGATCGCGAGCGGAACGCCGTGACTCCGCGCGAATTTTCCGAAGGACGGTAGTGCTTCGTTAATTGGACAACGATGAGGGATACAGTCGAAAGGATGAATCGGGAGAGTGGACAGAAGTATGCGAGAGGATGCTTCAATTGCAGTCTTTGGGGAATATTCTTTTAAAGTGCGGTGGTGCCTCGTTAATTGTAATACAACGATAGACAGTGTATTCGAAGAGAATCTTGAGTAGAGACTATTGAAAGCTAGGAAAAGTTTCTAATCTATGGAAAGTTTCTTATAGAGTATGGTAGTGTCTCGTTAGTTGTCCACAGGCAAAATCTTTAAGTTTCTATTACACTACGATCATTTCGTACGCGATGAAACTTCAACGAGATCTATAGGAAAAGTTTCTAATCTATGGAAAGTTTCTGATAGAGTACGGTAGTGTCTCGTTAATTGTCCATAGGCAAAATCTTTAAGTTTCTGTTACACTACGATCATTTCGTACGCGATGAAACTTCAACGAGATCGATAAAGTAAAGAACACTCGATCTCAGGATTAACCGACGGCAAGACCCTGGCGTTGAGGTTAAAGGGCAGACGACCTCACCCCGATTGGCCGGTGCCCTATCCGTACGAGTGTCCCAAAGGAGCGACGAGATGTCCCACGCGGGAGATCAACGACGTGGAGAATTATCTGTCCGATTTGCTGAACAGCAGTAAACCCCTGCTACACGAATCCGCCCTTAATCTCAACGCTACTGAATCATACATGAAGCGACACGTGTACGTCCACGAGCCTGATCCCGAGGACCAGGAGGACTTTCGGCGGACGCATCCTGCCGTCTGGATACCTCCCCAGGTATCTTCCGTTGGAAATATTATCCAAAGATCATCGAAATCTGGGAAATCTCTATAAGAGAAACCGATCGATCCTGGAGAATTCTAGAAATTAACGAGCTCGAGATCTTTTGTTGTCCTTTTTTGTTCGTGGAAATAGTTTGTATGCATTTCTCTATTTAATTCTGATCAGAACGTCTGATAAGAGACATTCAGAACAAAATTCTGTCGGTTCCGTCGTCGACAGGCCAGAAGCAAAGTGCATGTTTTCACGACCCTCTTCGGCAACTACATGGAGAAAATGCATCCCTACGAAGAACCGACGCCTCCAGATCCTTACTGCGCTTTCAAATTCAGTGCCTCGAAATTCGCGGCCGTGCAGGACGCTTGCGCCCTTTTCCCCGACGCTGTTGAATATTTCGGGGCGTTCGAGTTCGATAAGCCACCCTTCGCCAGGCGGATCGCTTCGAGCTGCGAGGACTATCAGCAAAAGGTTCTCTTATCATACCTGTCCTCTGCATTAAGGATCGTTTACTTTGTTTCATTTTATTCGTGAGTAACTCGTTTATATGGCGATGTATATACCAAACACTCCGATTCATCAGTATCCATCATTCTTAACCCTTTGCGGACGAAGACTCTTCGAAACATACAAAACCTTCGACATATGAAGCTAAATTATATATCTTTTACTGTTCGACTAATTAGATCATTTTTCCACGACCTAGTCTTCCAAACCATTTCATCTCACCGAAATGCCGACATCCGTCCGCAAAGGGTTAAAATCCGCAATTAACCCGAACACGAACGCACAACGAAGAACATTGAAAAAATCCTTGACACGAAAAGCCGTCGATTATTCAAACTTTTCCCTCCGGGGAACACGAACCCGACAGGTGCACTATCGATTCACGGCGCGTTGACACGTCAACCGTTGAATCACCGTCCATCAAACTCCCATAAAACCGAGGGCAATTCATTTAATGAAACAGGAGCGGAGGATTCAGGAATCCTAATAATTACGCTCTTAACCTGCCCGCGTTTAATGGACTCGAATGAAATCCCGACTCCATCGCCATAAAGATTCGCGTTTTAAGAGCCCGGCCGACTGCTATGTCGATCGCGGGCGACTGGTCGATCGAGGCGATCGGGGCGTCGAAAGGATCCGCGCTGTTGCGTGCGAGTTGTTGGCAGAAGGTTAGACGCGGACGCTATTGGCAAAAGGTTAGACGCAGAACCGGCGCGGAGGTGTTCGTGCTGATCGTCCGGAGGATCAACGACGACGTGTTCCTCTCGTTCGCCAGCATCGAGCCGTACTTCGTCACCGAGGTCGACGAGGAGGCGCAGGCGATGATCGACGAATATTTCCCCGAGGGAGCCGAGGACGTGCCGTTCGTCGCGCTGACGGAGCTCCGGGAGGAACCGGAGGAGGATTACGGGGAGGACGAGCTCGAGGATGAGGATCAGGACGAAGAGGAGGAGGAAGGGACGGAGGAGTCGGCGGAGTGAGCATTTTCATCTGAAACAGGGTGCGTCGGAATGCTCGCAACAGACACAAGTTGATTCTTGAAACAAAAATACAAATATCCTAGTTTCCTCCTGGAAAAAACACATTGACGAATCTTGATCTACCTTCTTACTTCTGACGCACCTTATCTCTCCGGCATCGCGCTTGTGTAAGCTTGTCTACAGAGTTGCCAGTCGCCATTGATACGCTTTGTCCTTGACGTCGAACTTACTTTTGCCAGGTTCTGACGGAGGACTCGGGTTCTGGGACACCAGTGAGGCGTTCGATCGAAAATGGGGGACTCTGTTATTGATTGAGTCTGGCGGAGCCATTGTTACGCTATGTAGACACCTAGAAGCTAAGATCGAACTTCCTCGAACTTCTTAACTTGTTTCTGAAATAAACATTCACGATTTGATCATGAAATGGTAGCTTTATTCGTATATAGTACTTACAATTAGGCTGCTTATCACGTTTCTTAACGATTTAATATAGAAGTTTCATCTGAGATAGATATTCTTTGAAACTAATCTATTTCGTGTATTGGTGCTTTGTACGAAGCTTAATGTTGCGTACAGAACCTTCTAACTGCATCGAATCGAGCGTTATCTAAGATTCACCTGTCGAGCGCAGAGTTAAAAAATTGATCGTTACGATCGAAGCACCCTGTATACGCGCGCATATTTATTCCCCGTGACGGCGGATCCATCGGGCATTCCGAATAATTCTGTCGAGCCTTTCCGTCCACCGGGATTCCATTCTTCGCGCGTTTTGGCAAAGCCGGATCATACTTGAATATTCGCTGCGGTTGGCAACGCGTTTGCGTAACTTTGGCAGCAGTCCAGCCGGCGGCGCGGCGCGCGGTAGGTCCGCCGCGCTTAAAGGTTCTATTACGCACCTGCCAAGCTGCCAATTTTTTTATCGCGATCGGCCAGCGAGAACTGCCAAGCCCCGCTTCAAAACAAAAGCGTTCCCCGTTCCCTGACGCGCGCAGGTGACCAACGGAGCCTCTTCCGCTTCTGAGCGGCCGTCAAATTTTAGATCCTCTCCTTGACTCGTGGTCAAGGTCCTGAAATCGTCCAATTTCCCCGGAGGATCCGCGTTTCCCTTGGAAAATCGGTCTCGACTTCGACGAGGAAACCGCTGGCGACGTCGCTCGACGAGCTTCCGCGTTCCCTTTTCATTTTTAACCCTTTGAACTCTGTAGGCTCCGATATTGCACCAGTTATAATATTAAATATTTTAATCGATCTTAAAGAAACCAGCCTAAAATTATTCGATTTTCCAAATTTTCTGCTAAGAAGGAGAATAAAAGATCAAAGAATACTATAAAAACAACCTGGAGTGCTAAGGGTTAACATTTAACAAACGTCTCTTATGATTTGTCGCATTAAACACGAATCTAGCGATCGTTTCTCTTGATTTTTTATTGATCGTAGGACGTTTAAGAAAGTAATCTTCGAGAGACTTTAGTTTTCTACATTACATTCCTTGCATTACACTATCATCAACTTAGGTATTAACCTTTCCATCGGACATTATCTTGCATGATTATTCTCGAGTAATTCGAAAGCGTCGGTCATCGGTGACACATGGTGCTTAACGCGTTAAAAGTTCCCATTAATCGGTTTCGTTTGGTTTTCGATGAATCAGAGGATGATGGAGAAAAATGAGCGCTAGATTTGTGTCCAGTCTGTAGAAGGCTACGAAGACAGCCTTCCATTAATTGTTATGGGTAGTAAAAAAGTATTCAAATTCGTCGAGCGCTGTAAAAACGGTGTCATCCGGCTGTTGTCGTCGAAGGGTAACGCGGGATCAAGGTTCAGGCATCCTTTCGAGGCGTCAGATCATGTTTTCCGTTCCAGATCCATCGGTGAAGACGTCTAATAGATTTTTCTCGGAATGGCTAGAGGTCTCTAAGTGTTTTTCTCTTTTTTCTTCGAGTTATTTAAAGGCGCGACGTGATCGGTGATCGTTAAACCGCGGGTCTTCGCGCGAAACAGAACTCTTTTGATATTATTTACAAAACGGATGTCTCTCTCTCTCTCTCTCTCTCTCTCTGTGTCGGTAACTGAAATGCGATAAAATAGCGCGCGAAGAATGGTAAATTTAATTGCAGAGGAAATCATAAATAAAGCGGAACCAGCTTCTCTTTCTTCGAGAAAGTCGGTCCGCGCCGGTGACTAAATTTCGCCAAGTGATCCGAACAATTGAATCATTAGCCGGCGGAGACGTTAGTCACCCGCCGAGCGCTAAATCTTCCCGCTAAATCGGCCATTCTAATTTATATTTTCGGCGCGGCACGCCTCGGCTGCGCGCAGCTTCGAAACAAAACGCGCGGATACTAACAATACCTAAGCGTTCCTCTTTAGACACCGGGAGTGGAGAAGGTTCTATGAAATGTCGACGATAACAAGCACATAGTTATTCGAGTAATTGCTTCGTTAACATTTCGCGAATTACGTTCTACACAAATGGAATTACCTCCTTGTTTAATGATTCGAATATGACGGATTTTGAATCGTAACTTTAACACTGAAACTACCGAACGAGTCGAAACGAGGCATTCGAGATGTGAAATTATTAAAGAAACTGATTTAGTAACACATAAACTGAATTGTAAATCAATTACATTCTTAATAGCACTCTTCGTTTCTACAAATTTCCAAAAGTCTGCTCGGTAGTTTATGTTAAATTCAACGAAGCATCGATCAGCAGTTTCTCATCTGCAAATGATATTTCCATTGGAACATTGTATCCCGACAGTTACATAACGTCGAATTAAAGGCACCTCGACATTAGTACGTCGATAGTTACTCAGACCTGTGGAACGTACCGTTCACCTTTACATAATCTTTCTTCCTCGAGCTAGAAAAATACGTTCTAATAACTCCGAAATACCCTGTATATTATAATCGTGTTCCCGATGGATTTTTACGCCTCGCGAGATATTAGCGGCGACGCTAAAAAGAAGTATCGCGGCGATTAGCTCGGCTTTCCGAGCGTTCCGAATAAATTATAAGAATTCCCCGCGCCCGATTATGGGGGAGCTAATTACGATAAGAGAAACGCAGGGCGGCGATTAATAAATAATTGCGAGGAGAACACCTCGGGCGGTCAATCTAGTCCGCCGGGAGGACTCTCCGTTCCTCTTCTTCTGTTTTTCGTCTCTGTTTTCATTCCGGTAGCGCCCGGAGGCGGTCAATTGCTTAAACGTCGGTAATTATTGCACAAGCATTACGCAAGAGAATCGGCCGTATCGAAACGGGGAACGGGAGGGAAGATGGCGGCCGTCTAAATGGGAAAAGAGAAGAAAATAAAAGGCGCAAATTACGGTTACACACCGGCGGGGCTCGCGCGTCCGTCGCGCGCTCCGCCGTTTACCGGCCATTAACGATCGTTTCGTCTTCTCGGCCCTTTGTCCGCGCCGTTTCCGTCGACGCAACCGATCCCGCGGACACTCTTTTTCTCGCGGACGCGCGAAAACAACGCGTGGGTGGGAATGAATAATCGGCCGGTAATCGGCGATCGCTACGGGCGATCGTTTCGCTACCGATCGTCAATCATCCGTCGCCTCGGTTCGCCCCGAGGCGGACGATCCTCGATCGAGGAGCTGTTTAGCCGACGCTTTTCGAGCGGATCGCGTGTCCGACTCGCATTGTTCGCGAAACGCGCGATTTGTTTGGATAAATGCGAATCGCCGAGGTTAATACATCGCGAGCGACGAATCAATCATTTCATTATTCGAGTAACGAGAGATTGATACGTTTTCTTCTATAGTGTTCAGCACGTCGACGCATCCTCAGTTCTATGACTCAGATGCAACTTTCTTTAATGAACCATCGTGTGCGGAAAATATTCATATTTAATTCCATGAATCGGTGGGATTCTATTGTTATTCGTTAGGAAGATCTATTTCTTCGATTCGCAATTAACCCTTTGAGAGGCGCCTTTCAGCCACTGGATTCAATCCAACAAAATGATAAAATTTCAGATTTTATATAGTGTATCAATATATGGAACATCGAAATAAAATAGTTTTGTCAATTTATACAATTCTTTACGTCAGTTGTGAAAAGTATCATTGATATCAGAAAATAATGAATATCGAGAAAAATATTCTCGAGTGCAAAGGGCTAAAAGTCACTTATTCCTGATATACCAAAATATTTCAGTAATTCAAATTATTCAAGTGATCGTTTCAACCCTTTGCGGTCGAATGTCGGCATTTCGCTGAGATCAAACTTTCCCGTTTGGAATACTCAGTTGCGAACGAATGATTTAACTATTCGAACAGCAAGAAATCAGTACAGTTTCCTTATTCTCTACGATTCAAGCATTCAGTTTAATTTAGCAGAATTTGCAAAAGGTTTCGTATACTTTCAACAATCTTCGTCAACAGAGGGTTAAAGATTCTTCGTAGCGAGAGATAGTCACGATCGTTCGAATATTCTATCGCGAAGAGTTCGAACGGCGCCGACGAGAACGAGGCACGAAAGTTCGCCGGTCGAAGAAAGCCGCGGAGATAAATTTACCCGCGACTCCGCGTCGCCGATGCCCGACCGGTCGTCCTGCGTACCCTCGTTTCTTTTCCACCCGGCGATCCCCCGCGTTCGCCTAAGCGGTCGTTTTCTTTTCGCGTAGTCGCAAATAGGAGCCGGCGGTGCCCGCATCATCGTTCGCTCGCCCCGGCACGAAATTAATGGCGTCGGGACGCGGCCGAACGCGATCCCCCGACGCCCGACCTCTGATTTACAGTGTCACAGTTCGGCTCCGCGGCCGCCATATTCGAAAAATGAGAAAAACCCGAGACGTTTCAATGGCGTTGCGTCTACCGACAATCCCCTTTGTCGACGTGTTCGTTTAACTCTTCGAAAGCTTCCTACCAAAAATACCCGAAACACTTTTCGATGATGCATAGTCAACATTCCTTAACACATTGTACGCGGGAAGCGTGAAAGTACTATTTCCATGCACTGTAGTACTGAAGTACTAAATAAAT